GGCTGATTTTAGACAGGCCGTGTGTGTTAAATTCCAAAGCTGTTGGCTTAACAGTCTCATCACAGTGTACCTGACTTTCCTCCATCACCGGTGAAAAGCTCTATGCATGGAGATACAAACGCTCACAAAATACTGTTTCTTGCACGATAGTTTCCTAAGCAAACCTTCTTATAGCCTGTTTAAAATAAATTCCACTTTTGAATAGTAGTTGGTACCAACTGAAATGTCACTTTCCATCCTCTGTACCTTTTGGGTAGGCAGGATCTTCAGTTTTTTAGGTGAGACGTCAGGAAGAGCTCACTTGGACCTCGGCATTACAGACTCCATGGGAGAGAAATCTGCCGAGACTGGGAGGAGCTCAGAGCTCCTACTATCGTAGGTACCAAGATAGCTTTGTAGGAACTTAAGTCATCAAGCCAGGGATAGGTGTTCCAAAGAAACCAGATCGGTTTGAAATTTTTTGAGAATCAAAGCATTTTGATTTATTTGGTTCACATCTTTCTTGGTCCTCCCTTCGCCGCTGGTTCCTACAGCAGTTTTGTGTTCTGGAGGAAAAACCTGTTCTGTGCCAATAAACATCAGTGGCAGGATGTGAAAAGCACTTGTACACTCTTCTAAACAGCAACATGTTTCCTTCTCGTTGCCCTGAAAAACGGAGATGGTAGCAGAATAGTGTCATCCGGGGCAAATCCAGGCATGCATCTGAATGTATCGCTTTTTGGTTGGAGAAGTTTTCATCTCTAAATGTCTCTCAAGTTGATATATACAGAGCTTCAAAAAACACATCCTCTTTGAGTGTGACACACACTCCTTGAGATACTTACAATAAATTGGTTTGGTTTGTACAACTTTATGTATTTGGTACTAAAAAAGAATATGCTGAAAAGTGCTTATTGAAGCAGACATCAGAGAATCTAAGTGTTGTTAGTACACAGACTTTTCTGTTTCAGTGTTTGCAGGTGAGCTGGTATCTCAGCACTAAGCTGGAGAGCGATATTTTCTTATTTAAAAGCTTTACATCTATGCCTTCTGATGGGATTCTTAGATATGCTCACGTAGAGTAAGCCAACAAAATTCTCAAGTATATATTTTTTTCCCTAGCTGAAGTAGCAAACATTGAATTATTTTTTTAAAAAAATGTTTCTTTTCATCTGGGCAGAGATTTTTTTTTTTCTGTGAGTTGTTTTTGAGATTTGAAACTATGATATATTTTCATTTGCAAGTGGATATTACATCTTTAATTGTATTCATTTTGGACAGAATTGCAAATTTCCACAGTGACCAGTGCAAACCTAGTGAAAATAATTTTGGATCTGTCACAAGTAATTAGAATTCTAGTTTGATGACTTTTGGTCCACTTTGGGCACCTTTTCATGTCATGGTAATTTGATTGTAAAAGGAAACTTGGGGGGCTTTTAAAACAAATAAAAATGTTTGACCTAGGTATGTCTATTGGGCAAATCTAAGTGTGCCTTAAAACTGCCTAAACTGATCTCTTACAGAAGGAAGCAAATTCCAAATGTCCTGGATCTACTTTGTTGGTAATAACATAACTAATTTGAGTTGCTTTTTGTATCTAGTGCCTAATTTTTTTTTAAGTAAGCCTATTTCAGTTTTGGTTTGTCAGATAATCGCTGAAAGGAAAACACTGAGATTATAATGCAGTTTTGCTGGATCCTAGTTGCTGAAGTGTGTTTTCACTGTAAGATAAGCTTATGAAGTATTGCCCAAGCTAACATAGTAAATCTTTCTCAGAAAACATGTCTTTGCCCAGGGTGGAAATATTGAATGGTCATTGGATAACCACTGCAGTAAAGGGGTCAAAATAATTCATTTTTCGTTTGGCGTAATGCGAGGAGTTTCTTCCCACCTCCCCTGCTCAAATCCTGCTCCTCTTCCAAGTTAAGTCTCCTTTAGGATTGCCTCTGTGGCTCTGCCCTGTTGTGGGAGATGTTTGTATCTTCCAGCTCGGATCTTCTAGACCCACCAGTCTTGTGGCCCCTGATACGTCCCATCTCTGCCCACCCACCAAGTTCCAGCTTCACTGGAGGGAAGGGGACTGTGCAATGAAGGGGCAGGACTGTCAAAAGTGTCTTTAGGGGACTTGGCTACCAGCCTCTCGTGGCAGATGGTAACTGCTGAGACTGAGGTTTCTGTGCATCTCTGAGCATTAGATGTAGCCCTGGTTTTGATTTCAAAAGGAGTAGCTACTACAAGCTATAGAGGTGCACATATCTTGCTCCAGTACAGAGTTCCTCTTGTGTCTTCCCTGCACCTTGTTCGAGGAGCATTCCTCAACATTAGTAAATTAGTGTGTGTAATTAGTACACTAGTAAATGTATGTAGTGACTGAAGTTGGTTAAGATGCGTAAGAATAAGCAGATGGCTGGGATTTGCTTCCTTCTTTCTTTCTTTCTGGTGACAGTGTAGTTGTAGGTCCCAGGCTCTGTCTGCTGGGGTCTCTAGTAATCCCAGGATTTTTGGGAGAGATACTGAAATTGGAGAGACTCCTGAAGAAGAAACTCTCCAGAGGCCATGAAGGAAGATGGCAAGCTCTGTCATGTGCCACAGTGAGAATTTAGATGCTTTCTGGTGTCTGTACCAGGTTCACATGGGGCTCGGCTTCAGCAGGGTGGGGGGAATAGCCCAGCCCTGCATGTTCTTCATCCCAGGCAAGGGAAGCCCTGGTCACCTGTTTGCTTTGCTCCCTGTGACAGCTCCCTCCTGGGGCTTCAGTGCTTGCTTGTGTGTGTGTGTGGTGTCTCCCAAGCACACCACTGCTGGCTCTTCTTTAGACAGGGAAAGGTGCTTCAGTGAAAAAATGCCAACAACTTCTTGGAGAACTAGGAATTGAAAGGCTAAGCAGAAAGCAAGCGCTGCTTACAAGGGCACGTTCCTCACATGGCTCCTGGTGCTTTTCGTGTTCTTGCCTGCTCAACCCTGAGCTGCTGCTGTTCTGCTACGCTGGGAGAGCTTCAGATGCACTTCTTGCTTTTTTTCCCCAAACACTCTTAGATGTGGTTTCTCTTCCAACCAGTATGTGCTGTTCTGTGGGGAGAGTTCACTCCAGTAAAGGCCTGGGCTTGTGGCAGGTGTGCCCCAAGGCATGGCCCTTGGAAGGCTACCAACCTCCCCTTGACCTTGCCCCTGCCAGTGTTTTCTTTGTCCCAGATCATCTTGTTCTCAGTTTGAGCTGTCTTTATGGTTGGCACACCATAAACTTATATTAACTGATGACTAGAAAATTTATAAGAACGCAAAAAGACTCCTTGCTTTTGTTCTTTACTGATTGCCTCGTATGACCTTCAGCTGGCAAAGACGTTAGAGGAGGTGGGTATCCTCATTTTTTAAACTGTTTGTGAACATCTGAGGAGCAAATTTTTTTTCCCGTTTGTCACCATGAAACTCTGTGTGGTTTTATCACTTAGTAACCCTGGTTGTGGCAAATCTGAGTTCATTTCAGTAGAAGTAAAATAGAAATGGATTTGTTGCTGTTACTGCTGCTGCTTTTTTTTAGGAAAGTAAATTTTTATTTAAACCCCTGAATATCTCTATTCTCCTTTTAGCCTTGCTAGCAAGTCAGTAAAGATAAGATAAAATAAAATGAAAGTCACTTAGATTCTTCTGGAAAAGATGATCTCTAAGGAGAGGTAAAGTCTGAAGTGCTCTGTATCAGAGAGCAAAGCTGGGGATAATTAGCAGCATTTGAGAACCAGAGATTATCACTGTCAAGCAACTGCTGGGGCGATGTTGCCCGGAGGCAACACGACCATCTGTGACAGCACAGCCCTTCCCCTTGGGGCAAGCTGCCACCCCCAGCCCGGGTGCCTGTCCCCAGCGCCCCCGGCCCCTCCATCCATCCTGTCGCTGGCAGCCTCCGTCCCAAGGGTCCCCGCGGGACAGATGGGTGTCATCTGCTCTGCGTGTCACCCCTGTTCTCCTGGGAGGTTTCTGGGGTGTGTGAGTGCCATTGGTCTTCAGCAAAATGTTGCTTTATCTCTTGGTTTCTGAAGGAACCAGACACAGGCTGTATCCCTTGAAACTCGCAGTTGGTGCCACGGTCTCTCTTTAAGAAGCAAAATTTCTTTTGAACACTTGAGGCCTGATGTTAGCACGTGTGTTTGGGCTGGGTGCGATTGCCATACAGGCAGGAAAAGGCAACTGTCTTCCACAAGCCCTTCAGACAAGAGTGCAGGGATTTTCCCATCCGAAAAATGCTGTCAGGGCAGCAACCACAGGCTCAGAGCAGGGAAGCAGCTGGAGAAGGGACCGGTCGCAGCCTTCTCCATGGATGTTTGCGAACACTGAACGCATTCGGTGTGCCAGCCACCTATAGCAGATACTACCACACTTGGGTACTTGAATATTTCAAAATTGCAAGCTAGAAATTAGCTGACAGTTGATTTAAATATTATTGATATCTTGTGAAAGGATTTCAGGGGGAGGGAGCTGTTTGTCATACATAACAATTACTTTCATAAGACTTTTTCGTAATCTTGATCTACAGCCAAAAAGAGGGTCAGCCTAGTAGACATGGTTTCAGTTTCAAAGGTAAACATGCATTTTATAATCTTGCATATAAATTTTTAAGGAAATTAAATATTAAAAGAATATATGTACTTGAAGGACTACTTACATAATGTTAATGACTTCATGTAATAAATGCTAGGAAATTCATGTAGTTCTTAGTATTTTAATAAACAGAATGTGTTTTCTACGTTTTGTTTATTACAGCTGTTATAATTCTACTTGTAAAGTTAGGATTTATTTTGATTGTTGTTTTTCAGCAGATCTGCATGGTAAGTGAACATACATCTGCTCTCTGCGGTAGTCTGGAGAAATAATAATTGCTTCATGCTTGGCTATTCAAATACTTGCGAGATCTTTTTCCTTTCAACTAATTCTGCTACGTGCACCTTGTATTGTAGTTCACAGCAAAGTCCCACCGTGAATTTATTGTGGCGGTGTGCTACAGTAACTGTTGTGTCTGTCTGATGCAGTGAAGGCTGCTGGGATTGATGGTGCGCACAGACCAAAGCGAGATGATGGACATAAGGTGGATGACCCCAGGCTCCTCCCAGATAACTTTCTCCAAAGGACAGCCAAGGTAACTCGGTGGAGAATGGCAGGCGAGCACGTGTGCACTCTCAAAGGCTGAAGGAGACCAGCCCTGGCCTCCCTGTAATCTCCATCTGTTGATCTTTGAATCTCATTCTCCGTTTCAAAGAGAGTAATTGTCCGATTTGATAAAAATCAAGTGTCTTGTTATTTTTACCAATTATCCTACTTGAAATTCCTTTTGTTTGTTATGAAAAACTATTTTGCAAGATTCAGGAAAAAGATTGGATGCTAATATGAGTGTCAGCCTATCCAAAGTTGTCAGAATTAATTCTGAGAGACTTTGGAAAAGCTGCTAGTGCTGTTGGTTCAAGATCTGAGGCAATATCTGAATGTTAAGAGACCAGAAAAGGCCTCCTGGTTCAGACTGGGTCAAGTCTCTTTCACATCTTGTGCCTTCCCTTGCAGTCCCTGATTCTGGTCCCTGTTGTGGGCTGGGCTCCCTCTGGTCTCATCCAGCGTGGCAGCTTCAGCACTCGGAATCGCACGGAGATGCAGCTCTTGAAACCTTCTGGAAGGGCTCTTCTGTATAAGCTTAGGAAATCAGCTATAGTATTTCTGCTACCCAGTGATTTATTGTGGTTTACAGAAATATAGCCTGGATGAACACCTCTCTGGAACAATTATTTAGCGATATTGTAATTTATTATTCTTTTCAAAGCCATCTTGTGTAAAGGTAAAATGACCCCTAACTTCAGAAAGCACAGAGAGAAGAACTGCCAAATTCCCCACAGCACATCCTTTCCTGTGGTTAGCGTTGGATCCGCCAGCGGCACCGTTTTTGGACTGGCCTGTTCTGCTCTGAATGTTGAAATCACAGGCCGAGGATACAAATGAAAGATTTTATAGGAGTTGCTTGTATGTTGTGGCTAATTCCCTGCATTTGGAAGCATCTGCTTCGTGTCTGGTTTTGTTCTGTAATCAAGAAAATTGCAGTACAGAGCTAGCACTTGGAAGGCACTTAGCTCTTCTATAGCCATGAGCAAGATGGCAAGGAAAACACATTGTAAATAGGTACTCAGTTAAAAAATGCACACACACGTATACACACACAGGGAAAACATGATATAGGCCTTGTGATTTTTCCAGATATTCTGCTAAGCCACTGTGTATCCCTATTCTGTAAAAGAAAATGAGTTTCTCTGAAAGTATTAACTGTAGAAACCTTTGTCTCTTCCAGGTGGTCTATATTTTGGAAAAGAAGCATTCCCGAGCAGCTACAGGCTTCATCAAGCTTCTGGCAGACAAGAACAGTGACCTTTTCAAGAGGTGTGCCATGTTCTCACCTGTGGACCACAGAGTGCCCAGGGTCTACGTGTCCTTGGCCGATTGCCCTCCAGACTTTGTGACCAGGCCTGAATGCTATTCAAACACGCTCTTCATCTGTCGCATAGTGGACTGGAAAGAAGACAGCAACTTTGCAACAGGGTATGTAACTGCTGTTGAAAGCAGTGGTGACTGAGATCTTTAGTCAGGGGTTTTTGTTTCATTTGATACAAGGAATAGATACAGGAATGTGTTAGCAAGATACTCGTCTTTTATCCCTTTGGTATTTTGGTGGATAAACTGTGATGAGGCTAAGGATAGCTCATGGCTACTTAGTCTCATGTCTCCTGGCTACCTGACGTTAGTTTTTTTGGAGCTTGCTTCAGTGTGCTAGCACATCACAGCATCACTGAGGGCACAGTCTTTGCTCAGAGGAACTTGCAGTCTAGAGGGGACACACACAGGTACTGAGCCTGACCAGCACAAGTGCCGTGGGCTGCTGGCAGCCTTTCAGTCTTCTCTCTTGTTGTGTAAGAGGAGTACACAGTGTGTAGGCATTTCACTTTCGCCAGAGGAAGTTCAGTAGCTGTGAGGCTCATCTTTAGTTTTGAAGCCTTTACTGATAAGAAGTAGAAAGAAGTTACAGATTTTTTTGTGGGTTTAGATTTGCATTGTTTCAAGGAAGGATATAGGAATCAAGAGAAGATTCATTCACTCTGGAAGAAGATGAGAAGTGTGTTGCACTTTGTGTCAGGAGGCGCTGTAACCCATTGCGGTACAGAGTTTGAATTGCACGTGCTGCCACAAAGGAAGAGATTTTAAGCCAAGGCTACACAAATGGCCTGTGCTGGACTGGCTCCTGATTACAACTTCATTTTGCTTCTCCACAAGGAAGACCCTGTACTTACCAGAATTTTCACTCTTTTGGGAACAGCTGCAGTGTGCCAAGCTCCCACCTGGAGTGGCCATGCTGTTTCCTATTGAGTGGGTGTCAGTGAGAAATGGTAGAAATGGATAAATGTATTCAATTATCTTGGGCAAAACTGAGTAGTCCTGGTTTAGCTGGTGATCCAGCGGTACAAACCCTAGCAATGCTGTGGTGATGGGGATCTGGATGTAATCTGGAGCACGTGCAGTAGTGGGACTTGAAGGCATAAAGCCCCACTTTTTTCCCTTGCAAAGCTGTTCTAATGGGGTAGCGTGGCTGATGTGCTGTGTCAGCATCATGATTTTTGAGTCCTCAGCTTGAGCTCCTGGTAAAGCTTCAAACATACATGGAACTTTTTTTTTTTTAAGAGTTAAGTATGTTGTCATAGATGTATCAGCCCAGAACTAAAAGTAAACTAAGCTCAAGTCTGTTACCCTGAGTTTAAGTTTATTATCAGTTGTGGCAGCTTTGTGTGCCCAGCAATAGCAAGTTTCACGTGTGCTCCTTGAGAGCAACACGAGCTGTGAAGTCACTCTATTTCCTGGCCGAACTGTGGTGCATGAACTGAAGTGGCCTCCCCTTGAGCCCCACTTAACTAGGGGCTGGCTGTGCTGTGAACTTCACTGTGACTAAGTTTGTTATTGGCAGAGATTTTCTTTGTCTTCTTTGACTCCAACAGAGAAGACTGGAGGGTGATTGTACTGCTTGGCCTCCTGTCATGAACAACCCCCTTTTTCAGCAGAAACCAGGGAAATTGGGAGGATGGGCTAATGTCTTTTTACATTGACTAATGTGCGAGTCTTTAGTCTGTGCTTCTGACAACATTGTGTATTCTCATCTGGTTGTTTTGGTAGTTTCCAACATATAAAGGGTGTTGTCAGGAAAGAAAACGTCCATGATTGTCTTCATACATAGCCGTTTCCTCTGGGACTCGGTTGCACTTCAAAAAGTGCCTTGTGGAGATGTGAGCATAATACCTTGGTGACCCATTTTGTTTTTAACTATAAATACATGCTTGTTTAAACATTGAAAGACAAGGAAACCTCTTGAAAGTCCCAAAAGTTCCTGATTGCACTTGGCCTAGTTTATAAACTTGTTTATAGGCTGTGTTGCTAGTCGTGGCCCACTCAAAGGAGAGAAGACCAGGTGATCTGCAGCTCAAGGCGTGCTTGCGCTTTTGGAATTTTCTTGTGCACCCCTTACTTCTGTCCACAGACTTTGCGATTGCCCTTTGACAGCACCACTGTGATTTTGAAGGTGTCTGGACTAAGCAGGTCCCTTTGCACCCTCTATGTCTGCTGGAAGTATGACAGGGGAATCTCCCTCTGTGGTTGGCAGTCATTTCCCTCGGATGCCTTGGGTGTTTCCAGGTACTCTCCATCCTGGAGCTGAACTCCCCCAGGCTGGTCATGCACCTTGCTCAGCTTTGCTTTTCCCTTGGGAAGTTCGATGCCAGGTTTCCAAGCACAGTTACTGGTGTAGTCTGGTCATCACAGTGACCATGTGTGGCTGGAGGAGTGGATGCCCTCGCCAAGAGTTTGGAGCTGAGACACTGGCCACCCAAGGTAGTCACCTGCACAGGGGCAACCTGACAGTCCCTGGAGGTCCTCTTGGGGAGGTGGGTGCGTTTCTGTGTCTTGATTGCCACCTGGTGGTCGCCAGTGAGACACTGTCCCCTCTGAAGGCCACCCTGTCACCCCGACTCTGATGGGAAGGAAGAGCTAGTGGCTCCATGTCCCACTGGCCATGCCCTGAGTGTGTGCTGCCGTGCTCCCTCCTGCACATGGAGTGATTTTTACTGTGACAGTGAAATACCATTTAGCTGTAGCTGATTCAGGTAGCAGGTAAAGCAAAATAGCTCTAAAAATATTCTCCTGTGTCTCGTAAATATTTCAAGTACTGCCATGTACAGTTACTTTCTGGGGACCTTTTTTGAGTGCTGGGAGTCCAGGGCTGTTTAGAGTATTAGTCTGGACATCTCCACACTTTTGGAGATGGTTAAGGTAGAATCTTTTTGCCCCCACATATGGTGATGGAAGAGAGTGTTTAGGGAAAAAAAAAAAGTAATAGTAAGACATTGAATCACTGATTCCCTCTGTGTCACAGAGGGCTTGTGGCTGTTCTAGCTCAAGACCTTAGATATTGGTCTATCAAGGTGACAAGATTTGTCATGACATTTGCAATAAAATGAGATGTTATGGAGTGTTCTTTCAATTGACGTCGTTTCCAAAGTCATACAAGTGGCTTGAATTCCTTTAAACTTTGGCATTTTGTTCTGTTTTTCGTTAATTCACAAATGTGTTTGGTGTGAGGGCAAATGGCCAGTGCCTTGGGTTGCTCACGGTAAGGGAAGGTCCAATCCCCGGGCAGTGTGGCTCTGCTGGAAAGGTCTCGGTGTCCCCATGATGCGCAGCCCTGCAGCCATCCCCACTGGGACCGTTGGGCTTTACCAAGCCTGGGCAGCTCTGCCTGGGAGCAGCCGGGTGGCCTTCCGTGCTGTCCCCTCTCCTGCTCCTCTACAGGCTTCTTCTAGGAGTGCTGGCTTATTGGTGCGTAGGATGTTCTCCTGCTGCTGAAAGAAACCCTCCGTGTAGGATGACTGTGGACAAATCCACTCCAGGAGAGACTAAGGTTGTTCCCCCCTGGAAGTTATTCGCTCTCATTTAGGTGCTTGCCCAGCTTTCCGAAGGAAACGAACCTTATGTAATTATGCTCTGGCTTTTTGGACAGTTCTTATCATGTAACCTTTGAACATGTTGGCTGGTTTTAGCCGAGTCTGGGGAGTGGAGAGGACTTGAACATTTGTAGGAACGGGTGGCTGGGTAGATGCGATCAGTGTCACCGTGAAGGGGAAGATGTTGGCAGGATTGTGCCTCTGCCCCGGGGCACACGCCTTCGAGGTCGAGCTCCCAGGAGTCGGCAGCTGGGAGCAGTGGGAGCGGTTCGATGATCTCGCAGCCGTGGTTTGGAGGCGTAGCCTGTGCTGCCCAGCACCCCGGCCACCCCACGTTCCCTTCGGTGCAGGCTACTGCCGTGTCTGACATCGGGCTGAGGGTATTCAAGGAATTCAAGGTCACCAGCGTCACAGAAAAGAAATGTTTACGTCTGTAACCATTATAATTTTTCTTTCACCTTTTAACATTTAGAAAAAAAATAAAAACCTACGCAAGCCTGGGGTGTCACAGACACTGTGACTCCCTGGAAGCGAACATCTGACTGCCGCTGGGCCCTGTGCCCCTTGTTGTTTATAAGCCTCTTGAACTGTTCTTGCTACCCTTGGTGGCCGCGGAGCCCCACGAGCGATTTTACAGCCTGGCTGTTACTCCCGGGCCATCGGTGATCCTATATGCGTTACCTTTGATCACATGCTGTCCTGTCAGATTTTGCTCTGATGCAAGTCATCATGCCTGTGTGACTGTAGTATGGCCCCAATTAAAGTCAGTCGTACACTTTTTATTTCAAGGTACTTGGGAACTATTCCCTGGAACACTGTAAATCAAATGTTAATTACTATTAAAAAAATATTAGTCCTATATCAAACCTCTGGGTAAACCCCTTATGGTTTGTAATCTAATTTCAGTAAACGGATCAAGAGAACATGGGTTTCAAGACTGAGCTGGAAAGCACTCTGGCATTCAGAGGAGCTTTCCATGACTTGTGGTGCAGACGTCCAGCCGCCCTCCTGGTGTGCTTCACATCTCTGCCCTTCCAAGAGAAGGGGCAGCTGAGACTCAAGCCCTTACCATTTCTTTTTGGTAGGGCAACGTGTCCTCTCTTTTCCTCTTTCAATCCATCCTTGGTGGTGCTGGTGGGCCTGCGGACCCACGGGCTCGTCCTTGCTCAGTCTCCCCGTTCCACACTAGAATTTGGAAATGAAGTGGTGATTTCTCTGGTTTATTGTTACTGCTGGGAGAGAGGGAGATAAAACTGATGCCTTGTTTATTTACATTAAAATAAGGATCAGACTGGGACGAAGCTGCAGGAACAGAGAACTCAGCCTCAGTGCCAAACGCTCACGTATTTCTGCCATACAGTTTGTACATAAAATTGAAACAATGGAGGGAAATGTCTTTTATCCTTGTTTTCATTTTTATTTTAAAGCTAGGCAATGTGAACTCTACAATTTACCACACCACGAAGCGCGCAGTCCTTTCCAGCATATTACACAAAGTGACAGGTTTATTACGCAGCCCTTCCCGTGGTGAGGAGAGCGAGCTGTGCTCCCATAAAGAAGATGGGGTTGCTTGCGCAGCGACGACAGGGTTTGTTCTGTGGGTTTATGGCACATTTGAAGCCCTGAGAACATCTTGCTCGTCCAAATGACAAGTGCGCTGTTTTGGGCCCAATTTCGGAAAGTAATTAGTGTCTGTTCTCGTTCATTGGAATTAAAGCAGAAAGATCAATATAATGATTGTTTTTTCCACTGCATAAAATACGCACTTATTAGAGTGGCTGGTTTTGTGCTGTGTTATTACCCCTCTCTCTTGTGTTGCATTTTGATGGATTTGCCTTAATTTCAGTTGTAATTTTCTTGAGTCAGGAGCGTTATCTCTACTGGCTGTAATGTGCCATCCACATTAATGGCAGTATATTAAAAAATAAAAAATTATTTACCTCTCTGTATTGTAGGGCAGTCTAGGGGTGAGAAAGGGGCCAAGGGGGAGCACTGTGGGACACAGGTTCTCATGTGGTATTTGTAACCAGCTGGGAAGGGAGCAAACGTCCCATTCCTTTAGAGTGGTGGTTTGCAGGCTCTGTCTGGAGCCGAACGCTTGTTTGACACCAGAGCTGTCAGACAAACGCGTGCTGGGGTTCGCACTGGAGCAGATGGAAACTTTCTCTAAGCGCAGTAGAGTAGCAAGCTCACGCACACGTGTGCAGAATGCTTCATCAAAGGCTATTAACATATGGGGACAGTTTCCCCTGGCTATGACTTGCTTCTAGATTGTTGACTCCTTTCCAGTTAGCTTCTGGTTCAGAGGCTGCTGCTTAGCTAGGAGAGGAGAACAATGTACTGTGAACATCCAGGTCCTGGAAGGAACCTGTAAATGATTGGAAAGACGAGCTGCAGGCATGTCTGTGTGTGCGACTCCGGTAAGGAAGGCAGTAAGGGCTCTTCACACCCTGGTCTTCACCGGGCGTCAGTTTGCCCGGCAGAGATGCGTATCCTTGGGGATGGCGAGCGGTGTGCTGAGCTGCCTGGGGAGGGACTGTCTTCTGTGGGGCCGTCTGGGATCTGGTGGGAATCTGTACTCCATTTCAGGTAGTAGGGGCGAGTCACCTTTTTCAGTGATGAGGAGAGGAAGGAGGATCTCAAGGAAACCAGCTGTGTGTAAAACTAGAGGTGTCTGTGCAGAGAGCTGTTCTTTTCCTATCCCTGTTGGATGTTTGGTTTTTTTTTTCCAAAATTTGCCACTTTCTTACCTTTGCAAAAACCTAATACTATAAAATATCTCCTTAAAATGCAATGCACAAACCAGGCTGGAGTACTGTCTGGCTAGTGTTCTGCATCTTCAGCACACGTAAGTCATGGTATGGTCTGAATTCCCATAAAGTCCTCTGCCAAAACTCAGGGAGAAGTGGGTGGATGAAAAAGTATGTTTGAGGGCTCAGCAGCCCCTTTGTGGGGACGGTAACAACATGACAGGAGTAATTACACACTTGGAAAAAGCATCCCTTTCTTTCTTTCTGTAGGCAGTTGGCCAAAAGCCTTGGGCAGGCTGGGGAGATTGAGCCGGAAACAGAAGGGATCCTGACGGAGTACGGCGTGGATTTCTCCAACTTTTCCTCCGAAGCCCTGGAATGTCTTCCCCAGAGCCTGCCCTGGGTTATCTCACCAGGAGAACTGACCAAAAGAAGAGATTTAAGGTAATGACAAAAAGTGTAGTGTGACACTCCTTTTTGGGTCGGTGCAGGGTTGGGCTGTTTTGGTTTGCTTTCACCGCGCTTTGAAAAGGCCCTGACTTTGTGTACCCAATTACACATTACCTGTTCTGTCATGGAAAGAAACGGTGTTTGAAAGCACCTACAAACCCAGAAGAACAGTTGTTTGGAGAAGTACTTTGTGAGGCAAAGAGACTTTTTCTCAAAAGAGCTATTGAAAACTGAAAATTTGGTGTTTGGCACCTAATCTGAAAGCTTTATATTTTTGTCTGGAATGTATTACGTATTTTAGTGGTAGTTTTATAGCTGAGATTTTTCTGAATGCCTGGCAGATCAAATGATCTTGGACATTGTTACTCTGAAACTTAAGCACAGGTAGAGACTGTCCTGTGTTTTCCTGTCTAGTCTCAACATTTTTCTCTGATTTGAAGAACCGATGTCATGTGGAGTTTAGGATGGCTTTTGATCAGATTAGCAGCTGGTAAATGCAGTCCCTTCCTGCAGCCTGGTCACTCTGTGCTGTCCTTGCATGAGCCATCCCTGCAGCTTAGTGATGCTCCAACCAGCTTTCGGGAGCTCTGCGGTCTGTTGGGTGATATAAACTCTGACATCGCTGAACTACCCAAAACTAGCTGTTTTTTGCTTCCAAGTGTCAGATTTCGGAGAAGTCTTCACTAGAAAAGACTTAAAGACAAAATTAAAATAATTTGTTTAGTACAACCCTGCTTTGCAATAAAGGAAGGTGCAAGAAAGCAAAACCGTAAGTGCGTTATTAAGATAATATGGTGTGCCCCACTCCCTCCTTGGCTTATGCTGGAGCATCCTGTACTGGGTTGGCAGATCGATTGCTTTCTTGCATATTGCTGAGATGAAACAGCCCCCTGAGCCTGGTTCCTCGCTGGTACGAGCACCAGCTTGTAGCAAGCTTCTCTCCCTCTTAGTTTATCTATGTTATTGGCATGGGCATTAGCAATTCGAGTGGATAAGCTGATAAACTGCAGCCGTTTGTGTCTGTAGCCGGACTCCAGATGTTACTTTGGACCTAATCCTGCGCTGCAGCCTGCAGACTCCTAACTGCTTCAGCTTTACTGGATTTCTGCTGCCATACAACGGAATAATTCAGGGGAGAATCATGCTCCTGAGTGAATAGCAGTAACACTCGGATACCAGATCCAGACTGTAGGCTTAAAGTAGATTTAAAAAGAAAAAAGATACTGAATGGTGCAGTTCAGAAGTCACTGGAAAGTGCTTAGTTTTATATTCTTGACTACATTTCAGTAGCATTCTCTGTTTCTTCTGACCAAGTTCTTTCAAGCAAATAAAAGGTTTGACTTGTTTCCAGTCAGACAATCAGTTTTGGAAACAAATTCCAAGTGCATTTCTTGCTTTTATTGCTGAATTATTACACTGGGACTTATCAAGGTGATAACAGTTTTGCAGTTAAGCCATTTAAATCCCTCTCTGCCCCTTCCCGACCACAGTGCACACTACAAAGTAGATTTCATTTTGATCCTCTCAAATATAAACATTTAACAGTCAAAGTTTTTAAGACAATTATTTGAGCTTAATTTACTAATCCTTTTAATGTCAACTGCCACACTGCTGACTAACTAGTCTGTGGTCTAAACACATCTGGAGATAACATGAGACTTGTAGTTATGGAAAGTAAAATACAGATGAGTCTTCTTTTTTGTTTTCTCACAGTGAGAGATTTGCCTACCCAGAAAAACATGAGTTTTATTAGTAAATGTAGCGTGATTTGTAGCAGAGCGGAGTTCTGCAGTCGGAGACCTGGCTACCGTCCCTTCTGGTTTCACCCATCACAGAATCACACAGAATCACAGAATGT